ATTCTAAGATGAAAAGATCGGGCCAAAACATCAAGGAATGGACAAGATCTAAGATTGTAAATTACCTATCTTTTGTCGGATTTTGTCAAGAGCTCAAAACTTCGATTCGAGGATTACGTAATATGTCAAAACGATCACCTCGTCGAGACCATCACTTTTGTGGCATTCTTTTCATTGGAGGGTTGCCGGAAAGGCCTGAAATGGGCCCCGGATGACCACCATAGCCTATGGCCCCTTTTTGGGGACCATATTGTAATTTCAAAGATTGTGGGTAGGGGCAAAATGATCATTTTGCCCCAAAAACGGGATTTAAATTTAAATCAAGAAAAAAATAATTTTTTGCAATTAGGGTTAGTTTTGAGCATCCACCATTGTTTCAAGGGATGTTATATAATCATTTGTAACCCTAAGTTCAAAAAGGGCTAATGAGACTCTTCCGATAAGCTAAAAAATTAATAGAATTAGCTTGAGTTCTTCTTTGTTGGTAATATTTTTGTCTCTACCTCTTTCACCCAAAGAGAGGAGAGAGAAAACTTTTCCCCACAAGTCACTACCCTTAGAACTTCTCACTCCCCACCGAGAACTCCTCACTTCCCACTTGGAACTCCCCACTCCCAACCTAGCCCCGGTTCAAGGGCCACACCAGGTAACACCTCACTCTTTCTCTCTCCTCTCCCTCCTCTCCTTCTCTCTCTTCCTCTCTTTTTCTCTCTCTTCCTTGCTCTTTCTCTCTCCTCTCCTTCTCTCTTTCTCTCTCTCCCCCAACCTGATCGAGCCGACGGCTTGTTTCTTTCTTCTCGCTCTGCTTCCCTCTCTCTCTCTCTTCTTCTTCTCTCACTCTCTCGCTCTCTCCATGCACAACCGGGCTGGTGGTCGGCCCGCCCCTCTTTCTCGCTTCTTCTCTCACTCTCTCTATTTCACTCTCTCTCTCTCTATGCCCAACTGGGTCGGCAGCTACCTATTTCTCTCTTCTTCTTCTCTCACTCTCTCTCTCCCTTTCTCCCCAAACCTAACCAGGCTGGTGGCTTTGTCGGCCCGCTTCTCTCTTCTTATTCTCTCACTCTCTCTCTCTCTCTCTTTATGCCTAACCGGGCCAGCAGCGCCCCTCTTTCTCTCTTCTTCTCTCACTCTCTCTCTTTCTCTCCATGCCCAAGCTAAGCCATCGACCCATCTCTCTCCCTTCTTCTCTCACACTCTCTCTCCCACTTCTCCCCATGCCTAATCGGGTCGGTGGCTAACGCTGATGTCTCTCTCTTTCTCTCTCTCTCTCTCTCTCTCTCTCTCCCTTTCTACGTCTAACCGGGCTGACACTGTCGGCCCGCTTCTCTCTCTTCTTCTTTTCTCACTCTCTCTCTCTACGCCCAACCGAGCCACCGGCCGCCCCTCTTTCTCACTTCTTCTTCTTCTTCTTCTTCTCTCTCTTTCTATGTCCAACTGAGCCGACAGCTTAGCCACCAATCCATCCCTCTTTCTCTCTTCTTTTCCTCTCTTCTCTCTCTCTCGCTCTCTTTCTCTCCCCCTCGATCGAACCAACAGCTAGGCCACTGGTCCCCTCTTTTCTCTCTCTTTCTCCTTCTCTCTTCCTCTATCTCTTTATCTCTCTCTCACCCCTTGGTCGGACTGGTGGCTAAGCCACCGGTACCCTCCTTTCTCTTCTTTTCTCTTCCTCTCTATCTCTTCTCTCTCTCTCTCACCCCTCGGTCGGATCGTCAGCTAAGTTACCGGTCCCCTCTCTTCTCTTCTCTCTCTTGTCTTACTCCTATTCTTTTTATTCTAACTCTCCATTTTATTTTAATTCATTTCACCCCTATAATTTATTCCATAACTAGTTTTAAATCCCCATCTTTTCACGTGGTCGTGCACCACCTTAACATCCTCCCCATCTAGTTAATTCTTATTTATTTTGTCTCATCCACCTACCTTACCTCTCATTACCACCTCATAACTACCTCACTATTGCCTCATTTTTCCTCACGTTTATAAACCCACTTCATGGGAGCTTTGCATCTCGCCATGTGTCACCTACCGTCATGCTACATCATGCTCCCCAGGATTTGTCTTAAAAATGCACACCATCTCATGACATCTCATATACTCCCTTGTTTTGTCTCATTTATTTCACCTCAACTTTCACCACGGCCATGACCATTTCATGCACCCATTAGCTCATTCCACACTATCTCTCCATCCCATCTTACCATTTTGTCTTATACTCGACTCTCATGAGATCTCCTACCATCAACTTTGTCTTAGACCCCACCTTCATGAAACCTCATATCCTCATGCTTCCATAAATTTCACATTCATGTTCGTTTTACACCATGCCAACTCATTTCACCATCTCATGCCCAAGTCCATGGCTTAGCCGTGGGCACAAATCGCTTTTGTCTTTATCTCCTCCTTTGCACTTTCTCTTTCATTCCCCCATTACACTCTTAATAAATTACCCATCTAACGACAAGGTAGGGACTTCCGACCCACTTGTTTGGTCATCTTACGCATGTGTGTTCATAAGGTGCAGAGTGCAGCAAGGGAGCTAGAGCCGAACCAACCTCATGCTTGGCGGGTTTTTCGTCATGATCTAAGAGGACGTCTTCGCATGCCCGAGCGTGTCATGAATCCACTGTGTGATAGGTCCCACCTCACACCCTATAATTCTCTCTCACTAGTTGGTACATACCTGTACGTGCACCACACACATTGTGGTTTCTGAGAGAGCGATCTTGGGCCGGACCCCACATACGGGTCCTTGCTCACGGTCCCGAACCGGACGAGATTGAGGCCCAACCAACCATTAGTAAGAGACCTTGGCATTATAGCTCTAGCTATAAGGTAGAGAGCAGCACTGCGAAATATAACTTTTGTCGTGATCGACTTTATCTTGATCGGATTGAAACGAAACTTGGTGGGCACTCTTAGAACATCAAATGCCACACTTTCATGCTTTTTGAGGCTAGGGAGACACCTTTTTGAAATTGCTCAAAAGTCAGGCTTGTTAGTGCGGGCTTCCGTAGTCCACAGGTGTGATTGGCACCTATGGGCATGGTTCCTCTTCTATTATTCAACCCTGAGCGTTAGCACATAAGCTAGCTACTATGGAACTTGAAATACTCTTTAGTACATAAACTAAATGAAGGTTGAAATTAGAAGCTACTTTCATGACATGAAAATAACATATGGCTGCCCAAATTATCATATTAGTTTGAAAGGATATGGTTTCTATGACAGAAGTGGTCCCCCTCTAAAATCAATATTAAAGATAGATGTAAGATCTAAATGTTTTAGAGATTCTTGATCTAAGCTTTGGTCCTTGAATATAAATAATAAAATTAAAATTTAATTTTAAAAATTATTTTTTAAATAATTTTTTTGCATCATTTGTATGGGTGCCCTTTTTTTGACGTCCATCTTAAGATAGACGTTGCATAGGTTTTCAATCCCAAATTGGGGTTATGATTCAATATCAGAATACCTCCTCTATTTGTGTTAGAAGAACCAAGGAAAAGAAGGCTAATGTGGAATACACAAAGCGTGTTATTTGCAGGTGCACATGCTTGTGCGATAGCGCAAAGGCACGTGAGGTGTACTTTGCACTTCACACACTCGTTATAGAGGCACTTTTAGCTTGTCGATTGGTTGGGCCTTGCGATGTTGTGCGGGTCACTCTTTGGTGACAATTTGAGTGTTGTAAATAGGTATCACATCATGATGTCATGAATTGAGCATCATATTGCATGACCATGTTAGAAGCATGTACGTGCAATGATGTGTACAGTGCGTGATGATTAAGTATGTGATGATATGACAATTGTAAGTCATGAACAATAAATAACTGTTAAAGGAGTGGAGTGTAATTATTTAAAATGCCTGTGATTGTACAAGAATTTTACATGAGCGTTAATACAATAAAGACATGATTATTCAAGATGCTTACAATGAACAATTACAACCTTAAGTAATATACAATCTTCTTCCTTTTTTTAACTTACTTTCTCCTTTTAAATTAGGGCAACTCTCGAGATCAAAGATCTTGCTTTTCCTATACATCAAACAGACAACATAAATGCTCGATCTACTTTCAGATATGTTGAAGACAAATTTGCTCAAAGAACCTTATATACACTAATTATCATCACCATATAGCCAATATTGTCTTGAAATAACGCATTTAGTACGCATAACCTTTTTTTTTTTATATATATATAAATTTCCAAATAATTTTTTTTGGTTCCTCTCATTCACCAAGTGTTTGTAACATGAAACACCAATGTGGAGTTGAGAGAGGAGAGAGAGTGAGAAGAGGTGGATAAGTTGTAGGAGAGAGATGGTTTAGGTGTGATTGGGGTATTCCTGCATATAAATTTTAATTTTAATTTTTTTATTTTTCAATTTAAATATGGGCAAGCTTTTTATGTTTCCTTACAGCATAAAACTTATATACCTCTCTTTATCCAACTGTCCATTCTGAATAGAGGGCTAAGATTGCTCCAATCACAATGTCACGTCTATACACTATTTTATTTTCAATTTTTTTCCTATAAACTATTTTGACACCAAATTTTGGATGTCCAATCCTCTATTAAACTCACACTAGTGAATAATATAAAACAAATATTTTCAATAAAATAAAATCATCAAAATACCTCAGAAAGTTTCAAGGGGTATTTTAGTTATTATATTTTATCGAAAAATTATTTTTAATATTTTTTATAGGTGCATTTCAATGAGAAGCTGACCATACCAAATTTCATATTCATACAATTTATATAAAAAAATTAAAAATAAAATACTTTAAGACGTCGGATCTAAGATCAAACGATGAATGACTCTCTTGATCAAAATTGGACGGCTGGATAGTAGGAGAAGCATGGATGTTATGTGTTGCAGGGAAGTATATAGAAACCTCTCCCCACTAAATATTATTTTATTTAAAAAATATTTAGCCAGGACTCGAGCGAGGGAGCGTTCGGATTGCTAGACAGATATTAGAGAGGGAGAGATTTGGATTGTTACGAAGTGATTGCTGCTGAAATATAAAACGCAAAGGAAAAACGTTAGCACGAGGCCCCTTCTCTGTTACATGCTTTTATACTGAAGCAGGTGTAGCGTTGTTGGGCAGGGAGGGATTCGATCTCTCTTCCATACCAACAACAACAGAGAGAAGAAGACCCATCAACAAACACTAACCAGCACATCACTTTCTCTCTCTACCTGGTATGACCCACTTCCTCTCTCTCTTTCTCTCTCTACATGTTGCATGTACCATTTCGCCCTCACAATGCAATTTCAATGGCGATTACAGAGACTTGGCACCAAATACTTGGGTTGTCCTTTCCTTTTACTTTTCTAGGGGTAGTGTTTGTTTTCCTTCTTTCTCTCTCTGCTCTTCATTGAGTATTTTGATATTTACTTTGTGATTATGCTTGTTTCTAATGGTTAGGTAGCCGATATCGAGAGGTCTCTTTGTATTTGTTGCACCTAACCTGTATTTTGGTTAAATATGGTTCTTCGATTTAAAGTATGCGATTTTCTTCGAGTAGACGAAAACCTGTATTTACTGACTTGTTTAACTTTGTTTAATTTAATTCGATGTAGGTGGTTTATTAATTCCGTAAGAAACTAAGTTTCACAGTTCTCCATTGCTCGTTCCACAGAAGATGGAATAGAATGGTGACGTTGGCTTTCGAGTAAGGTACTCTATGTTTCTATCTACTAGTGATTGTTATTCAGTTTTTCTCTGCAATGTGAAGTTGGTTTTGGTATGAGGGATTATGAGCTGAGAGTTTGACCTTGGGGGAAAAAATCGGGGCATAGTCAAGTGAACATTGATGATGCTTCCATGATTTGAGATGATTATATATCCTATGTTCTTCAAAATAACGAATGAGTGAGGGGAATTCACAATTTGCTATAGGAATGGGAGAGTTTTATGCAGTCTTGTTGTTGGTATTCATGTGACTGAAGGATTTGCTGTTAATTGAAATTTGAAAGTGCAGCGAAAACTTGGGGGCGACATGTCTGATTCATCAATCAATGATATTGAGTTACGATTTTCTTCTCTAGAGCAGATTGGAAGAGGATCATTTGGAGATGTTTACAAAGGGTATGCATTTCTCTTCTCTGTGGTTGTTTCTATGTATTCCTATCATAGGCGCATGGCTTTCATTCCTATATTGTGGTTTATTGCGGTTGTTCTTGGTTTTCTTTCCTATTCTGCATCTCTTTTCGTCTGCTTTGTTTTAAGAAATGCTTTAACTGATATTTGAGCTGAAATATGGAGCGTCCCACTATCATTAAATTGGTTTCGCTCATGTCTTCATTTTCTGTTGCCTGTGGATTTGTATTGTTTGGAAATGTATGAATGTGTTACGATGGCGTTTAGTTGCATTGGCATTTGGTGCCTAATGTTAGTTTCTTGCTTCTATTGAAAGTTTTTATTTGATCTAGAAGGCTTTGGCTTGGTGAGATATACAGAGTGTCCATTGATTTCTTTATTTTTATTTTTCTTTTCCTTCTTTATGCCTTTTATGTTCTCAAAGAGTTATGTCGGACTAGAGCTAATGCTTGGAAAATGAAAACTTTAACATATTTCAAAGAGATTAAGGACGTACTTTGTATCCATCTCCCATTGCATTAGAGATCTGATATTTTAACAAGAATATGACCCGTGCTTATTATGTCCAAAGTATGAAAGTATGCCTTTTTGAGAATGTCAAAAAATGAAAAGAAAAAAGAAAGCATGCCTTACTGGTTTCTTGTCCACATATGCACAATTTTGTGTATCGGAGTCTGTTCTAGTAGGCCACCGAATCTTCTGGACTTTCTGCCTTACTGGCTTAACCAACTTACACAATTGAAACACCATTATCAATAGGAATCCATTACGGAAACAAGAAAGACTTCTCTTCATGATGGTATTTTGATTTGGAGAATCTAGAGCCCCCAACATGGTCTTATGCTTTTGCGACTAAATTCTTCACAACACGTTGGTGAATCTAAAACTCCTGGTGTTCACCAAAACGATATATGAAATCTAAAACTTCTGCGGTTCACTAAAAAGATATATCATGTCGTCGTCATCTTTAAGTGGTGCACCACAAAGTGTTAGCAAAAGGAAAGAGAGTTTTTTTTATAACCTAACAAGGTTGCCTATCCAGGATGCTGTCCAATGGGAAGGGAAAACCTTTTTTAGGTTAATAGACTCTATTGAGTGAGTTGTGTACTGCATTGCATGGTGTTGACAAGTCCCTTAAGAGTTACAATAATCAAAATACTAAAAGAGTGCTTGGGCTCCCTCCCATGTTGAATTAACTGAACCAGGATGGTCTATGTGAAACTTAACGCCGTATCTCCCTTGTCATTATAAGTGAGACTTCTCCGAACTTGGCTTTCATAGGATACCTTCTGTACTACGATAAGAATTCTTCTTTAATGCATTTAAGGGTAGAGGGGATAGATCGTACTTAGGGAAACAACTGTAAATCAAGTTCACCAGCTTTTGAATCACCACTATATGCTATTGTCTGTTATGACCCTCATAATCTTGACCTCATTTGAACTTTACCCCCTATGATATGATGTTATTTTATAACCTCTCTTTGTAACTACTATGTTTCTGGGTGAATACACGCGTGTGTGTGCACGTGTTTGTCCACCAAAACAACGATCCACTGCAAAAGATTGAAATCTGTGTCTGTGTGTGTGTGTGTGTCCACCAAAACAAGGATCCAATGCGAAAAGATTGAAAATACATCCATAAAAAATTAATATCAAAACACTCCCTTGATCTTTTAATAGGTAGTGCAATCAAATGATCTGTTCCATCCTATACCTTGAATAAGAGGATAAGAACTTGAAAGTTATGAACCTATGCCAAAGGTGATAATTCTTTGCTGGTTGACTGACAACAGAATGATGTAGTCAGACTTTCATTTCTATGTACGTTGATCTCATGGAAATGACATACTTTATACCACATATTATGTTATAAATTTGCCTATTTGACAAAACTTCATAAGGCTTTCATTCCTACATAGCCCTATCTGTTTATCTATTGACCCCTTGGTTTGACACTCTATCCCTGTAATTGACCTCTAGTATTGCCTCATGGGAAAGTATTGCCTCTTGCTTTCCCATGAACCCTTCTTCCTTCCAAATCAACATCATGCTGATCTCTCTTTTTTGGTGCTCTTCAACTCTGGGGGAATCAAAACACTACGTCTTTTTTTGAAATCATTGCTCTCCATCGTTCGAAACAAACTTAAATGTATCTCCATTTGTCATCTCAGAATTGTACACATTAACGTCGTCTTTTTCGGTGACATGCCAAAAACATCTATCATTTTAGATAACATTACTTTGCTCACTTTTTTTGACAATCATAATTTGAATTTGGAGGTCCTCACCTCTTGCATGTCTCGGAAGTTACTTTTAATGCCTTTCTTTTTACTATTCAGAAAAGAAGCTACATATTTGCCTATGAAACCTTGATAAAGGTTAAGCTTCCTTCTTGGGAGAACCTTCTCTATAAAGTGGAAAATTGTTACTCTTCACTTTTTTATATTGTATTTCAAATATTTAAATTGTGAAGTATGTACACATCACCTGACCCAAATTTGTAAACGGGAGACTGTCAAATGCCTCCTCTTGTTCTAGCCACCTCCTCAAGTTTTCCCTCAGCTTTGAGCCCATAAATTTAAGTCTACCATCGATCACTTGTTGGTTATGTTGGATAATTCCTTTCCGAAACATCGTTTTTAGACAAAAATAAAAGCTAAGACCTGATTCTCTAAAGCTTCTCTATACAACAACTAGCTCACTTGCAAAATAAATGTAAATGAAATCTATAATGGGAAGCACCATTGACAATTTGCCTTTATTCTGATGCAACAGGAAAAAAAACAAGGTTTTGATGTATCCCATCCCTTTGTTCTTTTGTTTCTATTGTGACTTTTTTGATGCATTTGATCATAATAAAGAAGCTTGGTATAGCGATGCTAAGTGTAGTTCCCACCCTTGTTTTGTGATGTCCTTCAAAAAGTTCATGCTCACATGATCATTAGTCTTTTCAAGTTCAATCCATAAATCCTTCTTAGAACCTGTAAACTTTGATAATAAGTGATACACCAACATATTGTTGTCACAGTATTGGACTCTTTTTTGGCTTTTTTGTAAAGGGATTACCTTACCTGTTAGGGTTCTGGTAGATCCCAAGTTTTGTAAGGGACGCTAGACCCAACACTTGTATTTACTTCTTTCTTTATTCAATGAAACAGTTAACGTTATCAAAATAAAATAAAATAAGTGATCCACCAACATAGCCATTGATACATTTCCTAGGCTAAAAACCTGGTACTCCTTTATTAATATCGCAAACTTGAATAGCAGCCTTTGAATTTGGATATTCATGAACTGAAGGTGGCATTACTGATGCCAATGCTCTTGAGTGGGACACAAGACTGTCCACCAATAAAAAAATTGAAAAGGATATTCTCCAACTTCTGCTGGTGTGTGCTTAAAAGGAGCGGCCAAAAAGGCATCACAACAAGGTTTAATATCGTTAGTCACAATAATTTGCAATGCAAGCTCTTCTTTTGTTGATGAACTCTCCAACCTTAAATCATAATTACTTGGTAAGGGAGTGAATAGGAAACCATTGCTAATTCAAGGTGCTTTCTTATGGTGTACCCTCTTAAAGAAATCAACAATGGCTTAAACTATTGCTCCTTGAACAGCACCAAGTTTAGTTGTCATAATTCAATTCCTCTTGCCATTACCCTATGAAAGCTCCATAATTATGGGGTGCCTTCCCCTGGGGATCTAATCATTGGGAGCACCATTTAATGGATAATTGTGGCTTTCTAATTTGATTTGAATTTAATGGTAGTTGTGACTTTCAAATTTGGGTCGATGTGGCGATTGTTTTTTGATTGTGTTGCCTGACCAGGGTCCACCTCTTTCACACGTAAAATCTTGTCCAAAATACTTCCTCCTATCAAAATTTCGGAGTCTAAAATTTCACGTTGGTTTCATCTCCTGATCATAGTTTGCCATCCACTATTCTGCACCCTACTATCGTACTCCTGGCTTTCATGCTCCCTCCAAGGTGACCAGTGTCGTGCATCATGCTATCATCCCCAATGGTTTTTGTGCTCCCTCCAATGGTGGTCAGGCAGCATTTGATCGTGGGGACAACACCAACCTTTAAGTGCTTGTGGCTAATGTGGTCTAATAACGAAAACTGTGGGACTTCCAGGAATTGGATTAGGGATCAGTTGTGGATCAGGAGGAGAATCTGCACAGCTCTGAGTGGAAATGAACGAAGAGTGCCCAATTAACCTTGAAACCTCCACAAAGGTTACCAATGTGTCTGAAAATGTAGAGATTCCATGGATGCAATGGTATTTCCTTCACGGTGATCCACATTTTTCTCTTTCTTATGCCTCCAAATGAAGGTGTCTGTGGAAAGAACTTGAATTTTGCCCTTTTGAATCTTGGATATGAGATCTAGAGCTTCCTGGCTTTTCGTTGAGTTGGGAATGAGACTAAGATTCCACTGCCCTCAATAAATATGCAGATTCATTAAGGTGACATCCGCCGGTATTTACCTTGCTATTTTATTCTTCCAAGGTCATTTCTCAGGGGAGTAAAGAAACCAGCTGGAGAATCCCTCAGAAGGGTTATTTATTCTCCCACTAGACTGGTGAGATCCTACAGTCAGGATAGTTGGGGTTTGAGAGGGGGAATGTGCGTTTGTAAGGGTAGGGGAATTCCCAAATTTGGAGAAAGGTTAGTAGGACCCAGTATCATGTTCTGGGTTGAGAAGGGTCGATGTGCAGCTATAGGTAGGGAGGGTTATGTGACTGGAGCCTGATTGGGGGGCTGTCCTTGGTGTTACAAGGTTTTCATCTCTGGGTTCTCTGTTCGGCCTTATGTGGAAATCTGATACATAAAGTTTGGGTAATGGTGGTGTGCTGGTTGTAGCTGAGTCCAGTGATGAGGATGAGGGGCATCTTGTGGGGATGGATGGTGGCAGTTATCCTGGTTAGAGTATCCTTCAATATTGTAGCATTTGTATCTGAGCCACGAATGACATTTCTCTTGTAAGGGAGGGTTCTCTGCTGGAGGGAGGGGGGGGGATAAGATTGTGGTATGGACTTCCGGGGGTGAGATTTAGGCTCTCCTACAATTTACAGTGATGAGGGTCTTCAGAGAAGAGAGCTTGGGGTCTGACTGTAGTTACGAGCATCTCCCAAGGAGGTGGTCACTCCAGCTCTAGAAGCTCGATCCTCCGTTCCAGGACAAGGGATCTCGATTCTAGGCATCTTTTGCATTTAGGGATCTTGATCCGCAAAATTGGGGTCTAGATCCCTGGTTAATGGGATGCAGATCTATCTTATCCAAATCTTGGGTCCATGTTTAATTAGAATCGATCCTCCACGAACTTGGAATCGAGCTTCTTCTACATTAGGAGTGAGGTTCTTTGCCATACTTGGAGACCATTTACAATGGAAGCATGGATCACTAGCATGTTTTAGTTGTTGAGACTGGGAATTTTTTTTGTCTAAACTATGAGCTATAGACAATATAATATAGATTCCCTATTGAGGGAGGTTCTTTACTCTTTTGGGACCTATTTATGTAATGGCATGGATTCCTGATATATTTTATTTTTGCTATTTATACACCTTGTGAGTCATGACTCGTGACTAGTTTCGAAGAAAGGCGACAAGAGAGGGCAGGGAAAGAGGTAAAAAGACGGAAGAAGATGATGAGGATAGATGAATTGTGGTATTATAAGTGAGGAAAGAGGTTGAGATTGATAGGCTTAACTCCCTTGAGGCTAATTCACTGGGTCCTGACCACCTCCCTTTTTTTCTTTGGTGCGTGTGGGGGAGAGAGAGAGAGAGAGAGAGAGAGAGAGAGAGAGAGAGGTCGCAAGCATTGTGAATGTGAAGCAATGTTGGCATCGCTACCACTTTTTGAGAGAAAGCACAAGTAAAAAGAAAAGAAAAATTAATTTTTAGCATTAACAATATAAAGGGGAGAGAGAGAAGAGACCTTTACCCTCTCATTGACCCTATCAACTAATGACGTTGAAGTGAAAGGACCAAAAGGAGGAAACAAGGTCAAGGACACTGAGATTTGAATCCTTGTATTGGAAGTCGTTCCTGAACTAGAGTACTTTATTCAAGTGATATTTCGGAGCCTCAATTTTAAGTTCACCACTATTACATATACTTCATCACTCGATCCTGGACAAATTTAAATTGCGCTTCCTACATGTTGGGATCTTAATTAGAGTAAAGGACACTTCCTAGTATACGGGATCACATACACTAGAGTACCCCAATCCCGTATGCTTCATCATTCGATCCTAGACAAATTTAAATTGCGCTTCCTACATGTTGGGATCTTAATCCCTTTACCACATGATGTATGGTTCTCGATCCCCTAACTACGGATCTTTGTGCCTCACTCAATCCCACATTCCCTCTTCGGCTTCGGGATCTTCCCTCGCTCCCGATCCTGGTAACTACGGTCTGCTTAGAAGGGATCTTTCTCAATTTATTAACATCATTCCACCTCCCTAAAGCGCTATGGAGTTCATTAACAACAGATAAGTGCCCCCATTTCTATGGTCTAAACTTTAGAAGCCTTCAAGCTGTTCTTTGAGGAATCTCAAGGTTACCATCAATCCTACTGCTTATTTGGATTTGGTAACATCAAATTTATGCTCTCATCTTTTCCATCCCATCTCTCCTTACTGGCTTTTGCACCTACTGTTGTCCTCCATCAAAGCAGCTAACTAATTCCCTTCGAGCCTCCCACCATCTCACCCCATTCTACATGTGCCCTTCCCGCTTCTCCCTACATCAGGCCCTCTTCACTACGACTGTAATGTACCAATGAAATGTTCCTAGAAGGTTTCCTGCCCCTTTCTTCTTCAATCCTTACACCAGACTTCTCCATTATTCAGCCTGGGAAAGTTCAGGAGTCTCTTGCGTACCTTGGCAAATTATATAATACTATCAATGACTGGACAATGCAAAAGCATTGTCCTGCGACAATGCTGATTGCATCCATTCTTCCATTACATTATCAGTTGGGGCTTGAGTTATAATGACAATGTTCTCTAATCTCGCTACGACCCAAGATTGCTGGCCAAACAACTGTTCTCAAAAACTCTAGAAGTGCATGCTCATGTTCGTTCTTTAACTCAGAAAACCTTTGTCAAATAAATTAAAGGACTCATGATTATCTACTTGAATCATACTAGAACACCAGCCTGCAAACTAGTTTTAACTCTAGACTGTTACTGTTCTCATCGTCCTCTAGCTTTTATAGCTTCAATTATCTTAAGTCATGTTTATAGAATATCATCAGTAGTACGCAAGCTTGCCTTTAACGGTCTTGGTAGTGACTCATTGTGTGGGTAATACTCTGTTGTTCATCAACTTCTCTTAGATTCATGATTTTGTGAATTTATATTATCTTGTCTATAAACGATGATTGCATCCAGGTATTTAATGTAATTTATGAAATGAGGTTCCAAGAAACGGCCCACCAATACCCAAGAGGCCGTAGGTGCCTTGCTTTGGCTTGGGCAGGCCGTTTTGTGCCCAGGCGGGCTAGGTGGTCACCCAGAACGAGCCCAGTGCCCAGGAGCTGCCGCAAAAATGGTGGAAAGAACTCTGATGGGGGGCATTTTGGTTCATTTTGACCCATGAGAAAGGCAAGGGGGTAATTCTAATCCTCCAAAGTAAGAATACTCATTTTATGCCCTAGAAACACCCAAAATCGACTTTTTTTAGGGTCGAGAAAATTTTGAAAAGGTTGTAGAATCATCTGAAAACTTACCACATCTTATTTGAAATTTGAATCATTCATAGAAAGAGTTGAAAATCTCCTCCACTACATCTCAAGTTTGATTCCTACAGCTGAACTGAGCTAAAAAAAGAAAAGAAAAAAGAAAAAAAGGAACTGTTTTGTTTTTTTTGGTGGACCAGTGGGGAAGGGGTCCCCTACCCATGGTAGGAATGGAATTCTAGATATCATCTAGTGGCACCCACCACTCTGACTACCTATGCTATGAGTTTGTTTCTTAAAAAAAAAATAAGAATTGAGAATCTCCTCTTTCTTTTATTTTGTATTGCATCATTCTAAATTGGTCATTTCTTCTTATCGGAAATTTGGAGTTATGAGTATGACAAAAATATGGACTGTGAAGTGTGAAGTATGGTATATGTACACTAATTCACTAACACACAGGGACTTCTTTTTATTTTTCACTATTTCAATAATTCAAAGAATCAAAATTTTCAGTGACTTGAACACGTTTGGACATTCATGCGCATGTATTTGTTTAGAAAAGTTAGTTACAATCCATATAAATGCATAAATAAACATATTTGATGCATATATCTACATATATGTGTGTTTGGACAGCATAACATATGTGTATATCTGGCACCTTTAAGACGCCTGAGGTTCTGGGAAGCCATCTTGGTGCTGGGCACTCTAGAGCTCCCCCAGGAACCTACGGGCTGCCCAATGGTTTTGGTAACCTTGATATGTAGTTATATATACTATAGTTATATATGCTATGCAGCAACCTTGGAAGATCTAAATACAACTTATTGGAGAAATGTAGGCAGTCAGGATTTTTCATTTATTTAGCTTTATTTATATATATTTATTTATTTGGAAATTGTGTAGATCGTTTGAAACAAATTTTGTTTGAGTACTTTGAAACATATGTCTCTGTCTTGCATTATGGCTAAAATTCGAGCCATGTCTAAGGTTCCGAGCAGCTAAACCTTGCTTTGGGTGGATCGCATTATTGTGAGAAATATTTAAAACATATTCGTTCATTGCAGTAACATTGCATTACAAATCATTCACACATATCTTATATTTCTTCTTGGAGAAAAAAATTTAATTTGTGGTGAATTGTTTTGGTTGATGTGTTAGCTTTCATTTTGCTCCAATGGATTTTACACAGTTGCCTGCACCACTAGTCACTAAAAGATACTAACCCATAAAGAAAAAAAAAGAACCCGTAAAAAAATCTCATGACTCTTCCTGAAGAAATAATTTTATTGATGGTGAGTTGTTTTCTCTGTTGTATGAACTTTTATTAATTTAATTCTTAATTTTCCTTGCAGTTTTGACAAAGTGTTGAACAAAGATGTCGCTATCAAAGTTATTGATTTGGAAGAAGCGTGAGTGAACAACTAATTTGCATCTCTGTTTTGAGCTCTCCTTACCCCTTTTACCTTACAGTCAAGATTTGCTAATAACTGTTTAGTAATACATTTCGCATAAAAAAGTTACTGTCATAGTATCAAATATGCTGCAAATACTTTAGTAGGGGTTGCTTCCTTTATCTCTTGTATATGTTAAACTGACCTTGAGAATTTACTAAAGGAGGTATGTTGCCAATATTTCTTTTTCTTTGAGAATTTATGCATGCCTTTCGGCTGTTCTTGGTGATTTCTCTTTCAATACATTTACACTTGGGGCTCACTGGCAACATGGATATTTAAAGTTTTAGCTTTTTCTGATCTTTTCAGTGCTGCTTGGGAATTGATTTTCTCATATATGAGATAATGCTACATGGGGTTTTTCTGTATGTATTTCAAATAAAATAGAGGAAGAGGTTATTTATGTGCTGGTTATGTTAGACATATGGTTGCGATAGTGATTTACTTTGGGATTACATATGCTGCATGCTTTTGGACATTTATGTGTAGCTTTTGTCATTCAAGATTTGTTTGTTTCTTAAAATAAAGGGTTTTGTTAGGCTACACCACTTGGTGGTGTGTACCCTTAAAGTCCTCAACACTATTGGACACTTAGATACTCTTATCCTATAGGACATTTACATACCCTTATCCTATAGTATAGTAACTTTTTGTCTAGGGGTATTTTAAGTAATTAGTCAAGGGTAAAGTAGACATTCCGAATAGAAACAAAAGCATTTATTAGCAATAGTGGACCATGACATCACCGACATGGTGTGTGGCATCACTCACAAGATGCATTAATTGTTTTTTAGCTACTACTAAAATGCCACTATTTTCTTATAGAAATATCCATTCTACCCTTCTAAATGACCAAAAATGCCCCTACTCAAAAAATTTTGTATTGCAATTCAAGGGTATTTAAGTGTCCAAACATGTTGAGGACTTTAAGGGTATACACCACAAGTGGTGTAGTCTAACAAAACCCTAAAATAAATTTATAATTGGGGAAACACTGACAAATAATGGCTCTTTTGGCTCCCTGAGTATGGAATCATGACCTAATTATGCCAAACCCTGTTTATACCAAAACTGGAAGGTGCCCCTACACGTTATTTCAAGTGTGATATTTTTAAAATTTTTCAACCATAGACCTTGACATGCCTATATAGATGTGCTGCTTACATTAAAATCCAGTAGTATAGCGAGGAAAGTAAGAAGGTTAAAGTTTTAGCAGGAAATGCCTTCTAATCACCTGGGATCACCATAGTTAGAGTGGAGCCCTGTCTCTGAAGAAATTGGCTTGTAAGATATATAATGTGGAAAGAGCTTTACTTTGTTCATTTATAGGTTCAGTTGTTCATTTGTGGGTGCTATGGGAGTGCTTACCCTAATATAAAAAAACTGAAGACTGCAAGTGATTAAAAAACATAGATATCCTTGGCGAATTTGTTTTTACATTTTATACTTCTTTTTTTTGTCATTTGTTCAATAAAAAAAATGATCAATTTGGATAGATTTTCTGTTATGTATTTTTCCTGTTATTAGAAAAATGCATGTCTACTTCACAACTAATGGATGTGATTTGAGACATTTTTCATTGTTTTCAGGGAGGATGAAATTGAGGATATTCATAAGGTAATGCCATCATTCAGTATAATCTTGCATATCTGTTTGTGCTTTGAATAAACCAATGAGTTTTCCTTTAATTCCATCGTTGTTTTTGGATTGGTAATAATATCTGTCTCTTACCAGGAAATCTCAGTTTTGTCCCAGTGCCGTTGTCCTTATATTACTGAGTATTACGGCTCCTACCTCCATCAAACAAAATTATGGATACTTATGGAATTCATGGCGGGTGGCTCTGTTGCAGACTTAGTAGGTTACTTATGCTTTCTGCTGGGTCTATATCTCGACTGTTCAATACCCATTTTGATTGCTCTGGATATTCTATTGTAGAACCAGTAGAAAATGATGCATGTGAAATATTTGGTATACTGCTACTTAAATGGATAATATTTTTGACGGTTATACTGGTGGATAATTATTCATGTATAATTATATGATATACTTTTTGTTAGTATTCGTATTCATCATCTGCTTATATGTATTGGAGGTGTCTGATGTTTACTTTGAAAAAGAAAAAAAAAAGTCTCACATTATTTTAGGGAGAAATTTATATAAGCTTGACACCTTAAAATGCAGAACTAAGGTGGACCACTAAAATATTTCGAAAAAGGGTACTTTGACGTTGGAAAAACATCTCTAATTGATCGACATCGAGATGTATAAATAAATATGGAGAAAAAAAGAGATTTCAAGTCCTAAAAATAGTACATCTTGCACCACATTATCTGGACCATTCATGTTCAAGATTTTCATGCATTGATAGATCTGCTTGATTTGAACCATTTATGGAGTTTAAAATTCTATAATTGGAGATAAAATTAGATTCCCACACCATCATAAGAATTTTTGACACCTAAATTGCATCTCATGATAAAGTTTGAGGTGCGCCTTACTTTAATTGTTTAAGGTTGCAACCAGTGATTCAAAAAGTGGACTGCCTAGGCGGTCCAGAAGGCCAGGGCACATCGCCCAGGCCTAGGTGGCCAATCTTGGCGCCTGGGCGGCTGCCTAGGCGGTACGGAACCCGCCTAAGCAGCCGGCCCCGCTCAAAGGAGGAATTTTTTTTTTTTTCAAAGTTGATAAAAATTGATCAAAACATCACCCATTGATATTAGATTTAATTTTTGATGTTTTATAAGTCTATTGGGGGGTTTTTTACAAGATTTTGAGTCCTTAGAAGCATCTTTAACTGGGCATCCTTTTTGGATTAGACTGGGCTGCCCAGGTTCTGAGCGCCCACCTAGGCGCTGGGCGGCCTGGACCCCCTAGCGCTATTGTTTTATATTGATAGTGCTATTGTTTTCTAGTTCGTTGGTTTCTTTTGGGCCTTCCAGACTTTCGGTTTTTGGTTTGCGTAATGACTGTGGTTTCATGGTCTTGCTTAATTGTTGAGATGCAAAAAGAAAGCTGAGATGCTTGAGAAAACTGGTGACGGAGAGATGTCTGCTCCTTAAGTGCTCATTTTATTAATATTCTTGAAGAGAACCGGAAGTTTGAGATTGATGAGATATAATTTCTTTCATTTTCGAAAACAGATTTGCCAAAACAAAGACCGACATAGGTGGGACTGTCAGCACTAAGACTGACCATTTTATGAGATAGGGATACCTTGATGTGATTGACCTGAAGCAGTTCTATTTATTTCCTTAGAATAGCTCCCAACTTGAGTTTCATCCTGTATTTACTTTAAATCGAACTACATATCATGTTTTGAGTCATGAGTTTTCACATTTAGAGTTGGTAATGTATACAATGAGACTATTTCTCAAAAACATGTATACAATGAGACTGTTTACTTTTGATACAAGGAGGTTACAATCATCATTGACTGTTAGATTTAAAATTGGGTGGTTGAGGATGTGTCATTGTTTAGGCTCAAAGTCCAAAATAGAATTTCTCGAATGTTGTGATATACTTTCATCTATTGGATTTAACATCTAATGGCTGAAAGTGATTGTGACCTCTTTGTACTAAAAATAAATAGTCATGTAGTATACAATCGCTATAGAGTTTTTTTTTGTTTCTTATTTGTATGTCCCATAGCAAATTTGGTGGTGTTTTTTATTTGTACGTCCCCTAGCAAAATTGGTCATACTGCAGGGGTTATTAAAGTACATTGTTGCTTAATCCTGCTAACTTTTAGTTGTTGCATATTTGTAGATTCAAACAGGACCACCTCTGGATGAAATGTCTATCGCATGCATTCTACGTGACTTGCTACATGCAATTGAGTACCTCCACAGTGAGGGAAAGATTCACAGAGATATCAAAGGTCAGAACCTTTTGTAATTTATTTTGGGGAGATAGAGCCTGTTATAACTCTAATGGCATAAATTGATGATGTATCACACCTTCCCCTTTTAAACGTTTCTTTATAGAATTCGAATTTGTTTATTGAGAAATTTGTGGGTGTGTTTTTTAATTTTCTGTCTTGCTTTCCTCAGCTGCTAATATACTGTTGACAGCGAATGGTGATGTTAAGGTACTTATGAAATAACTTATCTGAAACAGATTTTCTGGAGAGGACGTAGTCTTCTTCCTTAGCTTTTTCATTTTCATACAAAATTTACTTAAAAGCATTTGTGCCATAGGTTGCAGACTTTGGCGTTTCTGCACAGTTAACACGAACCATATCGAGGAGAAAGGTCATTGTTCTATCTCCTTTAATGACATTGGTCCCACTATTTATTTGTGAGGGTATTTACATTTGTCTTCTTAACTTGAATAAATTGTTGCCTTCGAAAAAATCTTGTAGAAATTCTGGTTTGCTTTCAGTCTCATTTTTAGTGTTGCGTTCATTTGTTTTTTGTTTTATTTGTGCCTTAAGAGGCTTCTTTTTTTCTTTTCTTGTAGCGAGTACCTATTGAGGCTTCTGTTTCTCACCTAATAACGATTTATATTGATAATATTGTTATGTTGAAACTGGGCTGAGCCTAGTCTTAATTTCTTACTGTTGTTGCTACAAAGCAGAATGGGTTCCTCACATTTATCATCCCATTCTTAGTATATAATACACACCTTGTTATCTAATCAATATGGCAGTGCTGCCATCATAAGTTTCAAATAGATAATTCTTTTATGGAGGAGATTTGCACTGATGTGAATCTGGGCTGGGCCTTGTAAAATCTCCTTTGTATGTAGAAGCTTGGACCGAGCCTAGTTGCTGCAGACTTGAAAAAGTTTTAATTTTTATTTTTATTTTTATTTCTTTTATTTTGGGGGGGGTTAAATCATTGGGAAGGGGTCTTGAACCCTATGTGGCACCCACCACCCTGACCACCTATGCCTTGAGGCCATTCCTAGGGCATGTAAATGTTGCTTGAAAGAAGAAGGAACGTTGAGGTAGTTCCCTTCTGCAATTTGTTTTCTTATTGGAAATTATATCACTTAAACACAAGTTGTGGCTTGCATCTAGGATTTATTCTTCCCATTCAAAACCCTTAGTTGTCCTTCATTCATACCCTAAATTTTCTCCCAGAACCTTGTTTTTTCCCTTTTGGAGCTCCTTCATTTTGCAACCTTGGACGGATTACACAGAAGTACATAGAAAATAAAATAGGAACACCAAGTCTAGGTCCCACTTTGAAAGCTTTGTCTTCTAAATTATATTATTTCAAAACTTAGAAAATTTTAAAAAATTGCTAGTTTTAATTTGTCCTAACTTTAATAATATTTTTTAACTTGTTTAGAAGATAGACAGAGTCTCTGAGAACGCTCCTTCTAAACTTAAATGTACTGGAAGCCAAAATACTATTCTATGATCAAAAGCATTTTACTAAAACTACCTTGTAGGACCAGTGTTTAAAAGTTGTCGAGCTGATTGCTCCCTCGTAAGACTAGTATTTAAACACTTGTCGAGCTGATTGGGGACTTGCCTGAGTTATCTTGGCTTGGGACCCTGGTAAGTCGTAACCCACTAACTCAGGAATCGCTTAAGTCTTACCTTTTCTGCCCCTTCTTTGTATATTTCTACAGACTTGATCGGGTCCTGTAGAAACTTGCCCTAGTCAAACTGGAACACTTGGGCACATGTCCTGCCTGATTCTATGTGTTTAAACAATATAAGACACTAAGACCATCATTATATGTTATTATGAATCAAAAGTAGCCATCATTTTATATTTCTCAAATTGTTCCTATCCATTCAGAACTATTTTAGTTAACCAAGCCTTTTGGTTTTGAAGAATATCCTTGGGTGATTTAGAATTTCTCACTTATCAAAGAACAAAATAGAAATTTCTCGCTGTAAGTTAGTCAGTCTCTAACTTAAAGAAACATGGCCTTCTATTATATTTTATCCACTTTGACTGTTTTTTTCTCAATAATCCCTTGACTACTAAACATTCATGTGACCTTATGAATCTACATGGATCCAGACATATTTGTGACTTTTAGGCTTGACTACTTGGACGATAGATATAACTGGGTTGCCTACCACTGGTTGCAATCCTACATTTCCCAAATTTACAATACTAGACAGCTTCACATGACCCTTAGATGGAGCATAAGGCCAACCTTTGGCAACAAAGACAGTTGCTCTTTGATTTATAACACTCCCCATCAAAGCACAATTCAGCTTAACAAGCTTTCCTGATGGAAACCTTCCATAATTATGCGATGATCTGTGCATCAAACTTGTAGTTGTGGATGTCTTTTCTGAATACACTTTAATATATCCATTGGCTATAGTGATTGTGATCTCGTTATACGTACAATAAGTGGTCTTATTGTATACATTTCACTTTTATCTCTCTCCTCCACTCTCTCTCCCTAATCCATCATTCACCACCACGAAATTTCAGCGAAGAGCCCAATTTACTGCCACTACTGTTGTTTGACTCATTGTTTAGACTTTGGACCATTCTTTTGTTTTTCAATTGTTCGAGATATTCAATTCTTAAGGCTCAAGTATGATGGAGGGTGACTTGGTAGTTGGGATGTTGAAGATGTTAAACTATGTTAGTAGTTAATCTTTGTGTCACAACCTTTTGACTTTATGTATCAATTCCTTCTCTAGCTAGTTTATTACTGCTTGGACCGTGATTATATCGTTTGGTTGACTTCTCACTATTACTCTTGTGACAGACCTTCGTAGGAACACCATTCTGGATGGCTCCAGAGGTGATTCAGAATACTGATGGGTATAACGAGAAGGTACATTGTTGTACACTGGTGAAATGAATTGACATCTATTCTTTTTCTTATTATATTGTTCATTATACATTTATAAATTATACTAGCTTGTTTTGCTTCATGCAGGCTGACATTTGGTCATTGGGAATCACTGCTATTGAGATGGCAAAAGGTGAACCCCCACTGGCGGATATCCATCCAATGAGGGTTCTTTTCATCATACCTAGAGAAAACCCTCCGCAGGTTTGCTTTGCTGCTAGATCATATTATGCCAATGCAAAACAATTTTTTTTTCCTTCAATTTAATTTTGTGCAAGCTTCTGAAATATTTGGCATTTATTTATGTTGTTATCTTATGGATGTGCTTTGCAGCTAGATGATCACTTCTCACGTCCTATGAAAGAATTCGTCTCTTTATGCTTGAAAAAAAATCCGTCTGAGGTAGTTGTTTCACAACTCTGATGCTCTTTAGGCTTCTTTTATGATATTTTGACACTAATAACAAAAAAAAAGGGTAATTGAAACGGAAGACTAAGGGCCAGTTTGGATGTCAAATAATAGAACCTTCAAATTGAAAATATCTTAAGTTTTTTCATCCTTAATTAAGAAACATTGCCATCTTTTTTTTATTATTATGTTGGACTGTTTGGATGGAGTTAACATACTAAAAGCAAAGTCGCATTCTACCCTTCCAAAATTCTCTTGCCAATCCAAAAGGTTTTCTTGTGTCTCTCGCAGCAATAAAAAATTTGCTTCCGTACAATAAGCAGACCTGCAACCCGAGCTTCTCCTTATTCATGAAGAGAAGGGTTTACCATGGCTGTGGTGTGAGAGAAAAGGCTCGCCTTTTGTAGAGAGAAAGGCCTTGGCTTTACAAAGACGCCGCCTAGGGCTGTCATGGATGGGGCTTGAGCTTCTCTGTTTTTTTGCAACCCGAGCTTCTCCTTATTCATGAAGAGAAGGGGCTTCCCATGGGTGTGGTATGAGAGAAAAAGCTTGCCTTTTGTAGAGAGAGAAAGGGTCTTGACTTTACAAAGATGCCACCTAGGGCTGCCATGGATGGGGCTTGAGCTTTTTTGGTTTTTTTAGAGAGAGAAAATGAAAATGCTCTGTTTATCGAGAGAAAGAGGTTAGATTTGAGGTTTCTGAGGTTTCACGGAGTTGTTGGGTCATGGGTTGAGGTTTGCACAGGAGTGAGAGAGCTGCACTTTCATAAAAAAAAATTCAAGTTTGATTTGAATTTTTTTTATGGTAACTTTTGCCTTGACACTGTAGTATTTTTTATTTCAATCTAGAAATCTAACAAAATCTTGAGGTTGTCCAAATGGTTCAAATCTGTTTCACAAGATTTTTGAATTGCAAATCCAAAAATATTGCAATTTTGGGTACATCCAAACTGGCACTAATTGATTGAGGTCGTGAGCATGGAGTTATACTTTTTGGTTGCATGTGGACTTCCAAGCTAGCAATTCCACTTGATAACTTATTATGACTAAGCAATCCTTGTCATTTTTGTACTTTCTATTGTCCCTGATGTGGGTGACAATTATATGGGAGTTTTCCTCGGAAATATGCTATTAGGCACATGAAGTGCAATTGGCCAGTTGAGACAGTACCTTTACTTTTTTTGCTTTATATATTTCTAATGGAGACTGGTTGTCTCTTATACTTCAGCGGCCCAGTGCCAAGGAACTTTTAAAGCATCGTTTTATAAAAAATGTCCGTAGAAGTCCAAGGCTTTTGGAAAGAATAAGGTACAAGATGTTTGAATTCCTTCCTTAAAGAGCATTTTTC